ACCACAACGCCATGAGACTAGATATCGATTACAGGAAAAGATCTGTAAGAAATGCAAACACAGGGAGGCGAAACAACACACTACTTAATAACCAAGAGATCACTGAAGAAATCAAAGTGGAAATCAAAAAATACCTAGAAACAAATGACAATGAAAGCAAAACGACCCCAAACCTATGGGATGCAGCAAAAGCACTTCTAAGAGGGAAGATTATAGCACTACAATCCTACCTTAAGAAACAAGAAACATCTCAAACAAACAACGTAACTTTACACCTAAAGCAATTAGAGAGAGAAGAATAAAAAAACCCCAAAGTTTGCAGAAGGAAAGAAATCATAAAGATCAGATCAGAAATAAATGAAAAAAAATGAAGAAAACGATAGCAAAGATCAATGAAACTAAAAGCTGATTCTTTGAAAAGATAAACAAAATTGATAAAACGTTAGCCAGACTCATCAAGAAAAAAAGGGAGAAGACTCAAATCAATAGAATTGGAAATGAAAAAGGAGAAGTAACAACTGACACTGCAGAAATACAAAAGAGCATGAGATTACTACAAGCAACTCTATGCCAATAAAATGGACAACCTGGAAGAAATGGACAAATTCTTAGAAATGCACAACCTGCCAAGACTGAATCACGAAGAAATAGAAAATATGAACAGACCAATCACAAGCACTGAAATTGAAACTGTGATTTAGAATCTTCCAACAAACAAAAGCCTAGGACCAGATGGCTTCACAGGCAAATTCTATCAAACATTTAGAGAAGAGCTAACACCTATCCTTCTCAAACTCTTCCAAAATACAGCAGAGGGAGGAACACTCCCAAATTCCTTCTACGAGGCCACCATCACCTTGATACCAAAACCAGACAAGGATGTCACAAAGAAAGAAAACTACAGGCCAATATCACTGATGAACATAGATGCAAAAATCCTCAACAAAATACTAGCAAACAGAATCCAACAACACATTAAAAGGATCATACACCATGATCAAGTGGGGTTTATTCCAGGAATGCAAGGATTCTTCAATATATGCAAATCTATCAATGTGATAAACCATATTAACAAATTGAAGGAGAAAAACCATATGATCATCTCAATAGATGCAGAGAAAGCTTTTGACAAAACTCAACACCCATTTATGACAAAAACCCTCCAGAAAGTAGGCATAGAGGGAACTTTCCTCAACATGATAAACACCATATATGACAAGCCCACAGCAAACATCATCCTCAGTGGTGAAAAACTGAAAGCATTTCCACTAAGACCAGGAACAAGACAAGGTTGCCCACTCTCACCACTCTTATTCAACATAGTTTTGGAAGTTTTAGCCACAGCAATCAGAGAAGAAAAGGAAATAAAAGGAATCCAAATCGGAAAAGAAGAAGTAAACCTGTCACTGTTTGCAGATGACGTGATACTCTACATAGAGAATCCTAAAGATGCTACCAGAAAACTACTAGAGCTAATCAATGAATTTGGTAAAGTAGCAGGATACAAAATTAATGTGCAGAAATCTCTGGCATTCCTATATACTAACGAAGAAAAATCTGAAAGTGAAACCAAGAAAACACTCCCATTTACCATTGCAACAAAAAGAATAAAATATCTAGGAATAAACCTACCTAAGGAGACAAAAGACCTGTATGCAGAAAATTATAAGACACTGATGAAAGAAATTAAAGATGATACAAATAGATAGAGATATACCATTTCTTGGATTGGAAGAATCAACATTGTGAAAATGACTCTACTACCCAAAGCAATCTATACATTCAATGCAATCCCTATCAAAATACCACTGGCATTTTTCACAGAACTAGAACAAAAAATTTCGCAATTTGTATGGAAACACAAAAGACCCCGAATAGCCAAAGCAATCTTGAGAACGAAAAAAGGAGCTGGAGGAATCAGGCACCCTGACTTCAGACTATACTACAAAGCTACAGTAACCAAGACAGTATGGTACTGGCACAGAAACAGAAAGATAGATCAATGGAACAGGATAGAAAGCCCAGATATAAACCCACGCACATATGGACACCTTATCTTTGATAAAGGGGGCAGGAATGTACCGTGGAGAAAGGACAGCCTCTTCAATAAGTGGTGCTGGGAAAACTGGACAGGTACATGGAAAAGTATGAGAGTAGATCACTCCCTAACACCATACACAAAAATAAGCTCAAAATGGATTAAAGACCTAAATGTAAGGCCAGAAACTATCAAACTCTTAGAGGAAAACATAGGCAGAACACTCTATGACATAAATCACAGAAAGATCCTTTCTGACCCACCTCCTAGAGTAATGGAAATAAAAACAAAAATAAACAAATGGGACCTAATGAAACTTCAAAGCTTTTGCACAGCAAAGGAAACCATAAACAAGACCAAAAGACAACCCTCAGAATGGGAGAAAATATTTGCAAATGAAGCAACTGACAAAGGATTAATCTCCAAAATTTACAAGCAGCTCATGCAGCTCAATAACAAAAAAACAAACCACCCAATCCAAAAATGGGCAGAAGACCTAAATAGACATTTCTCCAAAGAAGATACACAGACTGCCAACAAACACGTGAAAGAATGCTCAACATCATTAATCATTAGAGAAATGCAAATCAAAACTACAATGAGAAATCATCTCACACCAGTCAGGATGGCCATCATCAAAAAATCTAGAAACAATAAATGCTGGAGAGGGTGTGGAGAAAAGGGAACACTCCTGCACTGCTGGTGGGAATGTGAATCGCTTCAACCACTATGGACAACAGTACGGAGGTCCTTTCAAAAACTAAAAATAGAACTGCCATACGACCCAGCAATCCCACTGCTGGGCATATACCCTGAGAAAACCATAATTCAAGAAGAGTCATGTACCACAATGTTCATTGCAGCTGTATTTACAATAGCCAGGACAGAAATGGAAGCAACCTAAGTGTCCATCGACAGATGAATGGATAGAGAAGATGTGGCACATATATACAATGGACTATTACTCAGCCATAAAAAGGAACGAAATTGTGTTATACGTAGTGAGGTGGATGGACCTAGAGTCTGTCATACAGAGTGAAGTAAGTCATAAAGAGAAAAGCAAGTACCGAATGCTAACACATATATATGTAATCTAAAAAAAATGATCATGAAGAACCTAGGGGCAGGACGGGAATAAAGATGCAGACCTACTAGCAAATGGACTTGAGGACACGGGGAGGCGGAATGGTAAGCTGAGACAAAGTGAGAGAGTTGCGTGTACATATATACAGTACCAAATGTAAAATCAGTAGCTAGTGGGAAGCAGTCGCACAGAACAGGGAGATCAGCTCGGTGCTTTGTGACCACCTAGATGGGTGGGATAGGGAGGGTGGGAGGGACGGAGACGCAAGAGGGAAGAGATATGGGGATATATGTATATGTATAGCTGGTTCACTTTGTTATAAAGTGGAAAGTTAAAAAAAAAAAAAAGACCATGGGCTCATTAAACAGAACAGAATCAAATTCTGGATTCTCACAGAAATGGACTTATAATTAATAATTTGGCTTCTGGGTCATTTTACAATGCCTATAATGTACCTGAGGTATTCAATTATATACAACTGTTCATACTATCGTTTCCATAGGAAAATGCATTCTGATTTCCAACCTGAGAGCCTCGAAACACAGCAGCCAAAAGTTCTGCACTGTAGGATGAGACAAACTAGAGACTGCATTAGGTCAGCCGCACATTAACAATGTACGTATCCTCATCTGTGTAGGCAAATGCACTGTGATCTATCATCTGCATCTCCATCTTTCCCACGGGATATTCCCTGTTGAAAATCCCCCCCAGGGATGGTGGGGGAATGGGTTCTAAGTCAGTTTAAGACTTATGCTCCATTGCCACCCATCAGCATATATGACATTCAGATATATAGGTAACTGACTTCCCCAACCAGGCTGAAAAACCAGGGCCCAGGTGTTGTATCTACTTCTTGTTCCACTGAGCAACAGGCACAGGATAAGATAATAACAGTTGGCTGAATTTAGGACTAAATGCTGGCTGCTTCTGTGCCCAGAGTTCCAAGGCAACTAAGAACAACCTACGTGTATCTCTTGTCCTGATGAGGTGTTCTCAGAGAAATGTTAAATCCATTTCCACCCACAGCTCCCAGTTTCACTGTAGAGTCTACACTTGGACTATCACCTAGGGGGAAAAAAATGCAAATACTATCATAGTAAGCTACAAACATTTTTCCTGATACCACGGATATGGGGTCCTGCATTTAATGGGTTCTAGAAGGTAATCCACTTTACAAATAAAGCAATCTAGAAAATAACCACATCTCAACCTCTTTCTTAAATTTCTGCCTACCTTTCAGGCTGAGAATTCAAACCTTATTTGAAAACAAGCCTACCACTGCCATGCGCCAGTATAACTTACGACACAACCATAGAATTCACAAATTACAGGTTCTCCAAGTACATCAGGAAAGCAACTAGAAACTGCGAGCAACGGGACTGTGGAAGGACAACTAGATTAGACGCTAAAACACCTAAGTAGAGGTCCTTGTCCTTTCTTGCTCAAGCAGACTGCAAACCCTCTGGCATTCTGTTTCCTCATCTATAAAACAGAAAAACTCCACCTCTGACATAGCTCCTAGGAAAGCTGTGAGATCAACTGAAAATATGTGCAATGGCAATGAAAACTGTAAAACATGTTAAGGATGTAATGAGATACTACGTTCTTTCTAGGATTGAGAATTATTCTTAAATAACTAACCCTTCAAGTTCAACAAAGCAAAAAGAATTGTTCTTATTAGCCAGAGTAGGATTGAAGCCCCCCACACAAACACACAAAAAACCCTACAAGTCAATTAAACATCACAGTAATAATGATATTGATTATAAACTTCAAAATTTTTCGAAGCCCTAGAGCCAACGCAACACCAAACTATAGTTTGCTTTTGTGTAGGAGAGATTTGATTCAGAACATCCTGATAACAGTTTTTGAACATACCACATTTATAAACAAAAATCTGGTTACTGGCATTTAGGACAGCGAGGTCGTTACTCTTTTTAGGGTGTGTGGAGAACATGATTTGAGCTACAGGGTGTGGGAGCAGCAGTCGGTAGGTGCACATGGGAGGTGGAACCACACTGCCGGAAGACTGTCACCAATACCCTGTCTGCATGAGAGAGAGAAAGAGGATTAGACACATGGATGTTCAATTTGTAAAACAAGGCAACTGAACAGCACAGTACCACTAACTAATAATGGTGGGAGAAAATATACAGCGATTCTTAAAAGTAATTGTTTTTATCATGAATAAGCTTAAATACAGTGTAGAGGAGGAAAGTTAGTGTCAGAGCTCTGTCTATATCTGGCTACTGTCACCTCCAGGCCTATAGCAGTCCATCACGGGGCTTGGAGTTTCAGGTGCCAGGGACTACGGCAAGCAGGCCAAAAGGTCAGAGTTCTAGCTTTAAACCTGGGTCTGCAACCAAGCCAGAATAAACCAAAATCCTTAAAGCACTTCCCTGTACATGGATCTGGTAATAAGGCATATGTGCTTAAGTCCTCTATACAGAACATATGATTGTAAAATCAGTATTATGATCACTACATAGAACATAAATTAGCACACCAACTCACATTACAATCTTAGAAGCAAGTTTTCCTTTATGTCATCAGCAATAAATAAACTGTCTATTCAGGAAAGACTGACTTTCCCTAGTTTCTTTCCCCTCACTAAACAAAAACCCTCAACCTAATTAAAAAACACCAATCCAATCCGAGTACTAGGCAGATGTCTGTGACTTGAACTGAAGATACTGGAAAGGTACATAATTAGCAAGCATTATATCAAAAAAAGCAACACAATGGAGTGGTGTGAGAGTCAATGGAACGCTATGTCAGGGCACAAAGACAAGGCTGACACACCAATGCCACAAGCCTACTGTTGTCTTCCTCTCCACCCAGGGTCAGAAATGTCAATGTCTTCAAAGCCCAGACAAGTAAATATGTAAAGGCCATGGTTGTAATAGAAAAGGGAGTTGAGGGATGTGGGGGGGAAGAGGAGAGACTATGGTCCTCAGGGGAGTACACGCCTCACCTAAGGGTGTTCCCATCCAATCGAAACCAAAACAAGTAAAAACAAACCAAACAACCAGAATAATCAATCAAATAAAAATCCTGCACTGTTTAAGTCAAACTACCACATCTGCAGGCTCCTGGCTCAGGCCCCTTGCAGGCCCATGGACACACTTTTCAGCTCCTTACTTCCATCAACAACAGCCACATTTGCCATGTCACTTAAATTATCTCCTGAGCTCCGGTCAGTCGTCCGGTGCCAGTCATAGCAGAGGTAATGTCAGCCTTGACAGAGAACATACAGCCGGTATGGGGTCACTGGGCCCCACATCAGGGACACAATCTCGCTCTTCCCACAGGTGCCGAAGGGCAGGCTTTGCTTGAGATACCAGTGATAGTTTCCAACAGTCCAGAGCTGAACTGCAGGGGAAAATGAAAAGGAGGCCATCAGAGGCAGGGGCCAGAGGACCAGACTTCGTACCACTTGCTAGAGGGGGATGAGGACACCCTTTTCTTTTTCAAATGACCCTTTCTGCTCAGCCTCTTCATTAAGATAATAATATTAACAATAATTGTTAAAGTATAGTTTTTCATGAGGACAAAATATTAAGCATCAACAAGGTCAGAAGCACACGTGTTCATTTCTGCCTCTACCTTCAAACTTCATGATCATGATGATGGAAGGCTCCTACCATAGGACAGTGCTTTAGTGAGTTGTTTTTTTTTTCCATAAAGACTTAGAAAGAAGAAAACTTGGCAATTAGATTAAAAGTATTAAAACACCCAATCCAAGAGCACTAGACTAGCATCACTATGTTGTATTACGCTTAAGATGCTTATTATTTTCTTCCAGGTGTTTTGCATGCAGTTATGTCCAAGGGAGATCAGCATGCAGTTACCCTTAAAAGAACAAGACCAAAACCTGTAGAGTGCAGGAAACAGAAAGAAGTTGGTCAAAGAGTACAAACCTTCAGTTACAAGTTCCAGAGATCTAATGTATAGCGTGGTGACTACAGTTAACAATACTGTATTGTATACTTGAAAGTTGCTACAAGAGTAGATTTAAAATGTTCTCACCGGGCTTCCCTGGTGGTGCAATGGTTAAGAATCCGCCTGCCAATGCAGGGGACATGGGTTCGAGCCCTGGTCCGGGAAGATCCCACATGCCACGGAGCAACTAAGCCCGTGTGCCACAACTACCGAGCCTGTGCTCTAGAGCCCAAAAGCCACAACTACTGAGCCCGCGTGCCACAACTACCAAAGCCCGCGTGCCTAGAGCCCGTGCTCCACAACAAGAGAAGCCACTGCAATGAGAAGCCCACGCACGGCAAGGAAGAATAGCCCCCGCTCGCCGCAACTAGAGAAAGCCCACACGCAACAACGAAGACCCAACGCAGCCAAAATAAAGTTCTCACCATAACAACAAAAATGGTAATTATGTGAAGTGAAGGATGAGTTAATCAACCTTACTGTGGCAAACATTTCACAGTATATGCATGTATCAAATCATCACATTGTACCTCCTGAATGTACACGTTGCATGTCAATTATATCTCAATAAACCTGGAAAAAAAAGACCTAATCATGTCAAAGCCAACCTTTGTTAAACAGGTGACACACATAAATGAAGATTTTAATTATATTAAGGAATTTCTTTTCTTTAAACATCTCCCTGATCACTAATTCTTAACTCAGCAATCACAGCAAATCCAACCTAGTTCTAGAACAAGGCTACTACAATACTTTGACCTAGCTTTGGGTTAAGTTAGACTACATGCTCATGCTCTGTGAGGACAGATGTTGTGGCTGTTCTTGCAGCAACACTTTTATCCTGAGCACATCACAGGGCCAGCCATTAACACCTGGTTAGTCAGTGGTTCTCAACTCTGGCTACACATTAAAAAAATCACCTGGGGACTTTCCTGGTGGCGCAGTGGTTAAGAATCTGCCTGCCAATTCAGGGGACATGGGTTCGAGCCCTGGTCTGGGAAGATCCCACATGTCGCGGAGCAACTAAGCCTGTGCGCCACAACTACTGAGCCTGTGCTCTAGAGCCTGCGAGCCACAACTACTGAAGCCCGTGCGCCTAAAGCCCGTGCTCCACAAGAGAAGCCACCTCAATGAGAAGCCTGCGCACCACAACGAAGAGTAGCCCTCGCTCGCCGCAACTAGAGACAGTCCGCACACAGCAACGAAGACCCAACGCAGCCAAAAATAAATAAATAAATAAAATTATAAATAAATAAATAAATGTCAGTGTTTACAAAAAAAGAAAATCACTTGGAAGCTTTTTTTTTTTTAATTAATACTGATGTATAGTCCCCATTATAATGCACTGAGAGCAACTCTGAGATAAGACATGGATAGCATTTTTTTTTTCTAAAGTTGCAGCCAGGGTTGAGAACTATTGTGTTGAATGAATAAATGAATGAATGAGCTTCTTAATAACATTTCAGTTAGTTCTATTGATTAAAACGTTTGAAAGCCACTCAGAAAATAATCAAGCAAATGAAAAGATTTATGAAAAAAATGTTCAGTGCACTATTGATGACAGTGAAAAATTACAAAACTTTAAACGTCTAACAACATAAGATTTAATAAACTGTAGCATAAATGAATATACAGCAAGTTAAAATGATACAGATAGATATCTGAAATGGAAATAGTTTGTGACACACTGTAAAAGCAAGTTACAAAACTGCAGGTATCATACCTACATATTTAACAAAAATGAGATCACAGCTATACTGAGATGTATACATAAAATTGGGAAGACAAGAAAATTTAAATAGTGATTATTACTGAGTGACAGAATTACGGAAGAACTTTTTTTCTTCCCATCTTTATTTTCTAATGCTTTCACATGTTACATATACACTGAAAAATACTTATTTACAATTTGATTTACCATTTAAAAGCTTACTTACAGAAGATTCTTACTTATATCTAATCTCATTTCTCTTTCACTTCCACAGTATTCCTTTGGCTAGCATTTTGATTTGCTACACTGGTACCATCCATGAAGAGAAAGCACTGATGACTTGTGATGGTTAATTTACATGTCAACTTGGCTAGGCTATGGTGTCTAGTTGTTTGGTCAAACACCAGTCTAGATGTTGCTGGGAAGGAATTCTGCAGATGTGATTAACCTTTATAATCGGGTGACTTTAAGTACAGCAGACTATCCTCCATAATGTGGATAGATCTCATCCAAAGAGTTTATAGAGCCTTAAGAGCAAAAACTAAGGCTTCCCAGAGAAAAAGGAATTTTGTCTCAAGACTGTAACACAGAATATTGTCCGAGTTTCCAGACTGTGGGCCTGTCCCACAGATTTTGGACTCAAGATTGCAACATCAACTCTTCACTGAATTTCCAACCAGCCAGCTTACCCTGATTCTATTTCTCTAGATACCCTGCCTGATACATGACTGAAATCCCTCCCATCAAAACTAACCACTCCCTCATCTCTACCTACCCCCCTCAGTTATCTTTGATTCCATTATAGGACTAAGTGAAAGGGATAAAGGAAACTCCACGGCCTACTACTTTCAATTACATTTTATGGGGCAGAAGGCTGAGATACTAGAGCTGTCTTACCATAGGTTTTTAGAGTGGAATTTTCTTCCCTCTGAAGGTCTTCCAGCCATACTGCAAGCACGGTGGAATCTGCATTCCAGAGAAGGTCATTAACCTAGTAGGGAAAAAAGACCTGTCACTGGCCTTTACGTATTTACTTCAAAATCTTTATGATAGCTAAATTCCCTGCTCTCACAAGTCAAATAATCCCACACTTGAGTTGATCCCTAGCTGTAAATTACTAACCTATGGAGTTATTAAACAAATCTCTGTCATCATATGTAGAGGACTTCAAAAAAATGCATTATGTTTAAATACTTAACCAAATGAAGGTGACATTTTTAGACAATCAGGGAAATTTGAATATGGACGAGGTATTAGGTAATATTAAGGAATTATTACTAATTTTATAAGGTGTGATAATGGAATTGTGCTTATATAAAGAAAAATGTTCTCAACTGTTAGAGAAATGAATATTGAAAATATGATTTTTAAAATTGAAACCCTAGGAAATTTTTACAAAGAGTGTGTGTGTGTGTGTGTGTGTGTGTGTGTGTGTGTGTGTGTGTGTATGCGCCAGAGAGTGAAGAATAGATGAAAATAATTTTGCAAAATGCTGGTATATATCTGTTGAAAGTAAGTAATAGGTACATGGGAGTTCATTAAGCTCTTCTCTCAACTTTTAATACATTTAAATTTTTACACAATTAAAAATTACCATGATTTGTTTCTGCTCCAGCAAAGATCCAAATGGTACACAACCTCCTTAAGGTTTAAATGTTAAAAATGACAAGTATCTTTATCACTGGAAGAATTATGCTTTTCTCAAAATGAACAATAAAAACTGACATTTTTATTTCCTTTCTGTGTTTTATCTAGGGTGAGGAAGGAATGCTATTTCTTCCCTGCAAAATCTCCTTAATAAAAACAATTTGGTGTGTAAAAAAAAATTCAGTCATAGGAAGCCACTATTTTTATTACTGTCTACTCTGGGGCTTCTATTTACATAGCCATATCAAATACAAATCTTCTCTATAGCTGTGGAAAGTCCTCTAAATGTGATGGTAAAACAACTCAGGCACCTACCTTAACCTCAACTTTGAGGAAAGGAAGTGTAAAATGTCCATGGAGAAGTCCATTTTTCTCAAAAAACACAACATCCTGCTGATTGGGTTTGTCTTGCATAGATGCAATCAAACTGCCTGAGGGCCTTAAAGCAAACCCAGAGTGTTAGAGCACCCAAAAGCTCATCCAGCTGGCTAAGAACAAGATGAAATTCAGAGAAACAATTCTTTCAGCAAAAACAAAAAGCCTCCATCCAAGGAAGTTTTAAATCCCATGTTTCCTGGCAAGCAGTCACCCTAGTGTGGGACTGTATCTGCCCAGAGGACATAGTGCCTTTTCCTGATTTGCACAAGGGCTCTATCTGCCCACAAAGACTCACAGATTTAGACTGCACTTGGGTGACTTTTTAAAAGAACCAATAAATTATTTAAACCATTCCCAGTATAATGTCCTATAAAACCATGAACTATTTCTTCAATTATATGACTTCAGCAACTCAGGTAGGTATTTTTAAAGACTTCTCAATCTACTGAAAACACCTTGATCGCCCCATATTGTTTATATTTGTCTCTAGTTTTAATTCAAATACATTTCTCTCTTTGCTCTGTCATCCAATTGCCACTCAAATATTGGTGGGAAACAGATGTCTAAAACCTAGAGACCTAGGTTTTGCCTGTAACAGATGCTACTGAGGCAGGAAATATTTCTTCTATCTATAACCAGGACAGCCATATATCACAAGCAGGTTGTGACCTGCACAATGGTACTAGGCCAACAGGTGAATCGGGCCCAAATCCAGCCCGCGTGTTCCTCAGCAAACAGGTCCCCTTAGTGTGGGAGTTTGTGCAGAGAAAGGAAGCCCTTTCCTAATTTTCACCAAAGCTCTGCTGCCCCACAGAAATTCACAGACTGCAACTTTCCTTCTAAGCACCACTTTCTGTTTTACACAGTGGCTTCATGTAGGCCCTGCCTATAACCTACAAAACGTGTGGGCCTTGGAATGATGAGGTCTGTGAAGCTCAGAATCTACTATTCAAACCACATTCAGACTTCACGGAACTAAAAAAGAAAGATACAGGCATACAGCCAAATGAGAAAAAGTAATTATCTCTTTGTGTTTTATAAACACCTACATTCAATAGGTACCACCACTCCCACCCTAGTACCAAGAAATTCTCTGGGAAGAAGTTACAAGGTTTCTTCTCCCACTCACTTCCGAGCCAGAGCAGGTCCCACTCCTGCCACAGGCTCACTGGCTGACTGTAAAGCAAACTCCCGACCCCACACTCTGAACTTTCGAGCCCCTGTGTAGTAGATAGAGGGAGAAAAACAACAATGGCAAAACTTAAAGCATTGTGATAAATGTTGTCAAGTCCGAACTTCCAAACACCTTCCTTATTAATAAAAACTGTCATGGTTTCACAAAGCCAATTAGATGAATCTTGTTAAAAATTCGTATCCAACAGGTAGGAGGCTGGGCCAAATAGCCTCAAAGAACTCTTCTGATTCTTAGCTCTATATTCATTTAACACCTAAACCAGCACATCGTTACCTCATGGGTGTAATGAAAGAAAACCCTCAAAGCAAAAGGAAGAAAAATTTATTTCCATACCTGTCTCTGGGCAAACGACACTCATAGCAAAAAACGCTCCATCACCACGCCAGGTAACTTGTGGTCTATGGTCATCCCAGGGCAAAGCAGACTCGTGCTAAAGAGAGGAAAAAACACAAATGTTACTGGGGGCCTTAAATGGCCCAGAACCAAACAAGCCTCAGGCTATTAAAGTTAAACCTTTTATATAAGGTTTAAGCTATCTAGAAATCGAGTTTCACAGAATCCTCAGGTACCCTTCCAGAAGGGCCCTTAGACCCAGAAATCGAGAGAAAAGAACTTAACAAAGCAAAACAAAATCTTTCTCTGGGCATTAAAAAGTGGCCTCCAAGCATAGCAATGGGGAAAAAGAGCTACAGATCTAGATATTAAAAATAACGAGCTGAGGGCTTCCCTGGTGGCGCAGCGGTTGCGAGTCCGCCTGCCGATGCAGGGGACACGGGTTCGTGCCCCGGTCAGGGAAGATCCCATGTGCCGCGGAGCAGCTAGGCCCGTGAGCCATGGCCGCTGAGCCTGCACGTCCGGAGCCTGTGCTCCGCAAACGGGAGAAGCCACAACAGTGAGAGGTCCACGTACCGCAAAAAATAAATAAATAAAATAACGAGCTGAGGAATCTATCAGGTAACTATACAAGGAAATTTATGTTTGTCTAAATTTAAGCGGGTAGAGTTTCATTCACTGAGTAAACTTCACAACGCTGCACAGAAGAGTTAAGAAGATGAGAGGAAGGTGGGCAGGGAAGAGCCAGAGGAGATAAAGCCAGCAGCAGTGATGAAAACACGGACAAGCTCCGCATTCTGCAGCACAGAAAGAAGAAAGGTTTCCAGTGCCACTTGCACCTCCGTCCCGAAAGCCTTGAAGACAGAAGCCAATTCTGTGGGGTTGGGGACAAATGACCACCTGAACATCCATCATCACATTACAGTGATAGGCTAAGTCGGAATGGTGCTAGTGCCACAAGCTGCACAGTAGGGAATACACAGCAGCCTAACAAGATTTATTCTCAATGAAATCGCCCTGTGGTATACACAAACTTCCTCTAGTGAAGGGTTAGGAGACAATATGAGTTACACGGAATGTAGCCAGAAATAAAGTAAGGATGGGAAATGTAACGGCAGTCAGTATATGATTTCATCTATCCTAGAAGGTCAGCTCAGGGAAATTTCCACATATAATATAGACAAAATGCTTCCATTTGCTCTGGCCCGCATCTGGGGATTATCCTCAATTCCTCTCTCTCTCTCTTACCCTACATCTGATCTATTATCAATAAATCCTGTAGCTCTATCTTCAAAATGTATCCAGAAAGAAGGAAAACATAGTTTCATCCAGGAAGGGAAATCAGAAAAAGAAAGACTAATATATACATATGTAGGAAAAGTATAAAAACATGCATGTGAATGATCAACAGTGAATGCAGGGCAGCAGCTCCTTCTGGGGAGGAAGGGGAAGGGTATCAGGAAGGGATACAGAGTGTTTCATTTCTGTCTGTGATGACTTATTTTTTAAAATGAATATTGGTGATAATTATTCTCTATGTGAAAAAAAGAATAACAAAACAACTTGGCAATAGAAAGGAAAAAAGGATCTTTCTAGGATGACTCATTCCCTAAGGTCTCTAAACAGCTTCAGTTTTACTAGAGCAGAAGAGATCTGTCCATTAACACCCTTTACCTGTGAAACAGAGCAGGACCCTATGGTCCCTCCTCACCCCATGTCCTCAGCCTGCCTTTTTTTTTTTTTTTTTTTTTTTTTTTGCTGTACGCGGCCCTCTCACCGTTGTGGCCTCTCCCGTTGCGGAGCACAGGCTCCAGATGCGCAGGACCAGCGGCCATGGCCCACGGACCTAGCAGCTCCACGGCATGTGGGATCCTCCCGGACCGGGGCACGAACCCATGTCCCCTGCATCGGCAGGCGGACTCCCAACCACTGCGCCACCAGGGAAGCCCTCAGCCTGCCTTTTGTCTGCAGAAAACCTTTAGCCAAACAATAAGTTTAATCAGAGAAGTGAGAAAATGCAGAAACAAAGGAAAACAGTCCAACATGACTACATAATAATAGTTTAGTCATTAAGCACAGTCAAGGACTTTTTTAGTTCCTCCTCAAGGGGTATAGATAATATTCTGAGCCATATCCTTTGAACTGTCTTATAGATACTGAAACCCCCACTGGGTGGAAGAAGTTAACTACATGATGACCAGACTGTGGCCATGACATAAGCTGCCACAAATCCAAGAATTGGCCTCAAAGAAATGGGAACAAGCCGACCCTGGAAGTAAAGACTAACTGTACTTAATAATCAAGATGATGCTGGTCAGACCACCACATCACCAATTTCAAGATGACTCTCAGAGCTGCCTGTACTGTTTCTGCATATAGCCCCCTCCCTCGGCCTATAAAAGCTCTTGCCCACTGGTTGTCAGGGAGCGGAGTCGGCCTTTGCACAAAAATCCGCCCCCAACACTCCCACCCCCCGGTTGCTGGCATCCAGCGGAATAAAGCAAACTTTCCTTTCCACCAACCTTGCCTCTTTATTGGCTTTAGAGCGGCGAGCAGCCGGACCCCACTTTTGGTAACACCTGGACACCTAAGAGCTCCTGGTGTGTAAGCAGAACTTCTATTTGTTCCAAAGAAGGTTCTTTATCCATCATACCAAGCTTACCATTTGCAGCTGAAAGGCGGCTTGCCTGCCTCCTGATCCATGAAACTGCGTCTCCTTCCTGCCCCAGCCAACAGTGATGAACTTGCCTAGAGAACAATTGAGTGAGAATATGCAAGACAACCAATAAGCTAAATAAAATAAAAGCAGTTTCATAGCTATTCTTCATGAAGTTGGGTCCTCTGAGACCTCTCAATAAATTGACCAGCAGTCAATATTTTAGAAACCTATGTTCCATATTATATGCTGAAGTGATTTTGAAGACGTTGAAATGCCCTTAGTTTGGAAAGAGCTCTACTGCCATCGTATATAAATTCCCTTGATGACAGTCAGCAATCCATCCCCACTTTACAAGGAGAACGAAACATGAAGAATCTATGCAATACGTCCACAGATAACAAAACATAAAACTCAAGAAGACAAGAGCTGGGAACAAAATTCCGATTGTAAGTGTTCAATCCACTAAATGTATCCAACCTCCCTGCTAGTGTTGGAGGAGACCACGATTATGGAATTCAACCACTCACAGAGACAGAGACCTAGACCCCCTAGTGACAGAGGCCAAAATTAGAACACAGGGCTTCTGCCTTCCAGGCTGGGCTTCTTTCTAAATTATAATGCTGATCTTACCTGAAATATAAAGTCAGAGTTGCTTGAAATAATGCAGCCTTCTGTTGCTGAAGGTAGGACTTAACATCCACCTATAAGAGGTACTACAGAGATGCCCCTGAAAGCATTGGCCAGATCCAGGACCCAATATTTCCCTCCTATAACTGATGCTGATTCTGACGATGCAGGGCTGTTTATAATTCCTATAAATTATGGGTCAGCATGACCATTTCCTGTCTGCTCTGCTTGGGCACATCCAAGTATTGTAGTACCCCAAAGCATACCTTGCTGCTGTATACAAACAGTAGCGCCTATCCTGGTGCAGACCCCTGGGCTTCTACCCGAAAGTTTCCACAGAGAGATAAAGGGTCAAGGAGCAAAGCAAGACAACTTTTCCAGTGGGATCAGATAATAAGTGGTGGAGTCACAGCAGGAATCAGTAAACTACAGCCTGCATCTGCTTTTACAAATAAACTTGTATTGGAACACACTTCTTTATGTACTGTCTTTTGAGTGTTTTCATACTACATCAGCAAAGTTGAGTGGCTGCGGCTTCCCTGGTGGCGCAGTGGTTGAGAGTCCGCCTGCCGACGCAGGGGACACGGGTTCGTGCCCCGGTCCGGGAAGATCCCACATGCCGCGGAGCGGCTAGGCCCGTGAGCCATGGCCGCTGAGCCTGCGCGTCCGGAGCCTGTGCTCCGCAACGGGAGAGACCACGAGAGGGAGAGGCCCCCGGACGGGGAAAAAAAAAAAAAAAAAAAAAAATGTTGAGTAGCTGCAACACAGACCATATGGCCTGAAAGCGGAAAACAGTTACTATCCAGTTCTTTACAGAACAAGTTTGTCGACACCCCGGTTAGAAGGAAAATATCTATTCACCACTCCACAGAGTGACTTTTTGTACTGACAAATACATTTCTGAGACCTAAGACCCTGACTTGGACTCCCCCTCCTTTGATTTACTCTATTAGACTTCTTATGGAAAAGTCAGTGGAATGAGCCAGGTCCAGGGCACTTTCCCATGCAAAGATGTGTTGGTTACTACCTCTATGACTACCCTCAAAGCTGGATGCCCCAGAGTCCCACTCTGGGCCCTAGATCCAGCACCATACCTGCTCCCTGAGCAAGCACATCTAATCCCAAGACTATAAAGATTCCCCACATGCCAATGACACCCAGTCCACAGCTCTGGCCTCTCCTGAGCTTCAGCCCCTTCTACTCACCTGCTTTACTTGGTGATCCCATACGGCCCTTAAACAAATCCAAAAAGGAACTCATCACCCACCCTTTACAGACCAGCACTTCCCCCACCTTCCCTCTCAGATATTGACATCTTTATTACCACCACCTGAGCTTCTGGCTAGAGTTCTACTAAACTTTCTTCTTCACCTTACATACCCAAAGCCTATTTATTTCACTTTCTAAACTGGTACTTCTCAAACTAGCTAGGGCAGGAGGGGAACCATGCACATATATTCAAAAAAAGTTTCCCATAATTCCAAAAAATGTACTCCTATCCTCATTGAGAATCAAAATTTTCCTGCATTTTTCCCTTTTCTAGTCCCACACCCACCTTCTTTATCTCTCACCTGGATTCCTGTAGCAACCTCCTACCAGACAACCCTGTCTCGTCTCTTCCCTCTCCACCAATCAATCAATCTTGCATCATCAGAACCTTTAATGACTGATCTCCTATAACTTAATGTCCAAATTCCCTATCAAACTTAATCAAAATCCCTCCCCTTTATTTCATTCCACATCCATGTCCTGTCACTAGGTAATGCTGAAGTACTCATAGTTGCCTGAATAGGCCATGCTGTGTCAAAGGCTTCTATGAAACATCCCTGCCTTGGAATGAACTAATTCACTTGCTTGGACCACCCCCCCACCCTCAACCCTCATTTACCCAACACCAAATCGGCCAAAACTCAGCTCAAGTCGGCCTCTTCTGGGAAGTCTTCCGTCCCCATTACTCCCTTTCTCTCCTTATGCTACCCTAACACCTGCACATCCTGTTACTATTGACTCCTTAAGGGAAAAGATGAATTAGCCACAGCACCAAACACACTGCTGGGTTCATACTACCTACTCAAACATTATTTCTGAACAAACAAATTATTTTTGAATTAATAAATGAGTAGCACCTTTCTAAATGATTTCTTACTTAGTAGAACGAGAAGTCATGAGGTTAGACCTCAGCAAAAGTTAAAATACCATCTCCCCTATCCTTCTCCTCAATCAGGCCAGCTACCTGGTGCCCTCAAGTTGGCCAGAGCTTCTTATACTCAATAAGCATCTCCCCTTCAATAGTTCCACAGCCTAATGCCCATATCACCTCAGCTAGATCTTAGCAAGAAAACAATATGATGGTTCCCATGAAAATTCAGGTCTAATCAGCAGGAACAAAAATCAGCTCTCTATCCTGCCTCTCTTGTCTTCTCCCCAAAACTGTACCTCAGAAATGCTCTCCTTATTCTAGCTAGTACAGTCCTTTCCATTAAACACCCCGGCTAAGCCTGTCCTGGGGTTTGGGCAACAACTACCCAGGTGATTCTAAGCACAGATCCCTATTCCCCAAGTTATTGACCAAGCCAACTCTGAGACTTGGAGAGGCACCAGAGGTATGCCTTTTAAAATCTGGAATGAACTAAAGGAACTGGGCTATCAGACAGTGAATTAAGTAGGGGTTTAAGTTCTTTGGGTTTATGACGTGCCTATTAGTGTGCAAGACAAGTCACAAAATGTTTCAAACAAAGCTATACTTACTTTCACCAAAATCATCCTGGTGGATTTGCTGTTCCATGATTGGTTCAAACTCTTTTGTCACCATAATTAGGGTCTGTTGACCTTGGAGGAGCACAAACAAGAATGATTTTGTTCTCATTTAGCAAATCTGCCATTCCGTAAGTATCTACAGCACTGGAAGCTACTGAGCTGGAGTGGAGGAGCTTATAGTCAAAACAGGGAAGACAGAATTTATTCAAAATGTTCTGACTCTCATTTTTATAAAGAAGTTTTGACTGGGTACGTCACCTAGTGCTTATTCTCAGCTATTTATGTATGTCAAGCTAACATTAAAGTCCACATAGCCCTCCTCCACTAACTTCAACGATTTAGTCAGCAAGATATCTCTTCAAATGTATACCTCATCAGGGTGCTAGTTTGCAGAAACTCATCTGGAATGAAAAGACTTAAGGGAAAAAAATTGGACTGGGAGAGCAGTTCTTAGAATCAGTTTATTTTATGTAGCAACTCTTCCTCTTAGAGTAGATTAAATATTGCTGACATTTTAAACCATAACTATGGACCTTAGCAGCAACTTTTAAAAACAATATATTAAGAAGTAAAACTTAACTCAAAACCACCACATTCCCTATAGATTATCATGCTGGTATCCTTGTTCCAAGAAATGTTTTTTTTTGAAACCTAAGCACCCTAAAACTTAAGCCTGTGAGATATTAGGAGTCATGTTTTATAAAAGTCAAGAATTAGGGACCAGTGACATGCTTACCTGTGGCAAGAAGCACCAGTTCTTGGTCAGGACTCCAACTCATGACAGAGATACCACTGGCTACACTCCCGACACATTCCAGCTGAGAGAGACATTTCAAAATGTTAAGGGAGATATGAAAATATAAGCGTCTCAGTAAATATTTACTATGACCTTAATCAAAACAATTAACAAAACACACAAAGGTGAAATTATTCAGTGAACACTTATTCAGTAACAGGTATTAAAAGACCAGGCATGATACAGACCATAGGGACTGGAGGTGACTACGGCCACTCCATTCCTCCCGTTAAGGAGCTAAAAGAGAGATAAAAGATGCCTCTACAGCAGGGTTAGGGATGTAACCGAGGTCTCTGGGAATTAAGTGGGGGCCCAGAGCAGAGACTGACAAACGGCCCCAGAGAGTCCAGGAAAGCTTCTCTGAGGAGGTGCTTTGAAAGGGTAGGAATAGGGCTAGAAGGAAGAGACTGGGGGGGAAATGTGCAGTTAAAAAGAGCAGTTAAAAATCAGCTGCAACTAGAGCATAAGGTATATATACACACAGGAATGATGAGGGTGGGAGGTGAGGCTAAAAAGGAATTTGGGGAACAGATAGTGAAAGGTCTTATAAGGCACAATAAGGAACATGGATTCTGTCTTGCAGACACTGTGATGCCACAAACATGGAGGATCAGCACCATCTGGTGGAGACCAATGGATTGGAGGAGCTCAGTAATTAGGAAAAAGTTCTACAAAATGTTTTGAAAGTAAAAGCATACCTTTTAAATGTGAGAAATACTAATTAAGTTATACTTGATGGCTTTGATATTTATCACCATGAACTGAGAACAAGATTTATTGTTTGACTAAATGGAACCGTTAAAAGCAAAGGTGCCAGAGTTAGACTGCCAGGGTTTAAATCCCACCTGATAACTGTTTGACCTTGGCCTAGTCATTTAAGCCCTCTGTGCCTCAATTTCCTCTTCTGAAGAATGGAAAAACAACAATCTACCTCATAAGGTTGTAGTGAAGATTAAGTACAATTTTGCGTGAAAAACACTTGAAAAAGTGCCTGGCGCATTGTAAACATTTAATAAATGTCAGCTGCTATTATTGTCCTATGATTAGTAATATGACTTGTGATACATCCATGTTAAAGAGATCACAACTAAGGGAGTAATCAACAAAGTTTAAAAAGCTGTCAAGAAGGTGAGGATAGAAATCCAGAAACTCAGCCTTATGCTAAGTAGAGAAGGAGGCAAATGGTTGAAATCTATCTTCTCTGGTAGTCACAAGATGTGCACATAATGATAGCATTATCACCTTAGCACCTGTAGTTCAGGGACTCTTAAAGTTAGCCATCAAGGAGAGGCTTACTCAGCATTCATAAAAGAAAACATAAGCCATATAAACACTTCAAAGACTTCATAAATCGAGAAATAAAGGTTACAACTCAGGATCAGATTCTAGTAAGAGATGAGCTATACCATACAAGAATGGCCAGGTTTGAGTTTTTGTTAAGTTCTTATTTGGAATGTTCTGATTGTTCTAATTAATAAATGCACTAGACAAAACTGACTTTTAGAAGAATCCTGAAATATAGCTAAAGCCATGCCAACAATTTTCTGTAAAGAATTATATAATGCAAAGACTTTAACTTGCAAAATGCTTAAATATTATGGCTCCTGACATTTTAAACTTCTACGAAAAACTAGTGACATGAAACAAAAAAAGGCATTTGAGGATGCCTAAGATTTCCTCCTCACTGGTCTCTTCCACTTACCTGGTGTGTGTTGAGATTGCAAAGTAGGACATCTCCAGAGGCTGTGGCCACACACACAGACTCGTGATCCAGCAACTCCTGAATACCAACAGTGCAGCCACTTCCATCCTCTGGGAGAGAGCCTTCTGCCACCAAAGGAGTGTCATTTTTCATTTTTCACCTTTCACCAAAACAAACAAATATGCAAATTAAGTCAATCTACTTTCAAAAACAATTCACAACACTTCCAGAAATACTTTTTAATGTTTCTTTTATAATATAACAGCTTTCTAAAATGTTTTCTCCTAGATTAAAACCCAAACTTTCATTTGAGAAATATCACAACACTACCACCTTTAACACAAAACACAGTTAATATGACCTTTGTGGCACACAAACATAAAAGCCTGGTATCTTTGAAAATATCCAATAAAACATGAAGCTGATAACTATGATTTCCTAAAATGGACACGGTATGGGGAAAGGGGACTAATAATGTAATCACCTAAAATACATTAGTAGCAAAATATAATTAAGGAAAGATATCAGAATCAACCTAAAGAGCTTTTAAATATACATACGCTCAAGCTCCAGAAGTGAAGATTCTGATTTAGTTGGCATGAGATGGTGACTTGAAACAGTTTAAAAAGCCCTACAGGAAATTTTCATCTGCATTCCCACTTAAGAACTGTTAATAGATAGTATTTACATGGTAGAAAGGGTAAAAAGTAGGGCGCCCCCACAAAATACAATGTCAGAGTTTTGCCAACGTAGATTAAAACAGAAGCAGACTAAAAGATAGGGTACTAGTTAAGTTATGCCTAATATGACATCAGTATAAAGCGAAGGGAGTATTCATTTGGCGGACATAAATTCAGAAAGATTTAAAGGACATAGTATTTGGGGAAGCAAGTTTGGAAAAAGACAAGTCAAGAGTCATGCCAAGTGCTAGCATCCTCCAACAGTAACTTACCTCTCTTGTGACAGGGTCTACTTCTATCAGTCCATGTTCTGAGCCAAGGAGCACTGTGTCTTGTTCAGTTCGGAGAGAGAAGCACTGAGGTTTCCTTGGAGCCTGAATATCCCTGAACTCCAAGCTCCGAAATAACTTTAGATTTCTCATGATGAAGCGACTCCTGAAAGAAAAGTACAAATATCTCTCTTTTTAAACATCTTTATTGGAGTATAATTGCTTTACAATGGTGTGTCATTTTCTGCTTTATAACAAAGTAAATCAGTTATAAATATACATATGTTCCCATATCTCTTCCCTCTTGCATCTCCCTCCCTCCCACCCTCCCTATCCCACCCCTCTAGGTGGTCACAAAACACCGAGTTGATCTTCCTGTGCTATGCGGCTGCTTCCCACTAGCTATTTTACGTTTGGTAGTGTATATACGTCCATGCCACTCTCTCACTTTGTCACAGCTTACCCTTCTCCCTCCCCATATCCTCAAGTCCATTCTCTAGTAGGTCTGTGTCTTTATTCCCGTCTTACCCCTAGGTTCTTCATGACCTTTTTTTTTTCTTAGATTCCATATATATGTGTTAACATACGGTATTTGTTTTTCTCTTTCTGACTTACTTCACTTTGTATGACAGACTCTAGGTCCATCCACCTCACTACAGATATCTCAATTTTGTTTCTTTTTATGGCTGAGTAATATTCCATTGTATATATGTGGCAAATATATACAAATATCTCTGGATGAAGCTTTTATTTCTCTGAGAAATAGAAACAGCTTAGTAGCGATAAATGACACTCCAATATAAGCAAAATGATTCAGGGAGCAGAGAAGTTAGAATAACCAAGAAAAAAAAGGAAAAAAAATGATCTGATCTGAACCCACACAGAGATGAGTGGTAGCAACATAGTCAATTGTGTAAATCTATGGTCTACAAATTGAGGCCGTGAAATCTATTTTACGGTCTCACTCTTTGAAAGAGGCAAGATTCTCAACTTCAGAGTTTTCTCTTCAAAAAAGATTTAAGATCAGTTATTCTGCAGGAAAGTTGAGAAGAATGCAATGAATGAGAAAACATTTTATTTTTGCACGAGGATGTTTGCATAACTTGACAGATTTACAAAATAATATAAAAATCCACATATATATCCTGGCAGTTGAAGAAAATAAAATTACTTTAATACCACCAACTACATTTATTTATATTCTGGCTCTATATCTTCATTAAAAAATTAAAATTGAAATCAAACATAGAAATAAAGAAAAGCATTTATGGGACCTCCCCGGTGGCGCAGTGGTTAAGACTCTGCACTCCCAATGCAGGGAGCCCGGGTTCGATCCCTGGTCAGGGAACTAGATCCCACATGCATGCTGCAAGGAAGGGTTTGCATGCTGCAACTAAGGAGCCCGCCTGCTGCAACTAAGTAGCCCGAGTGCCACAACTAAGACCCAGCACAACCAAATAAATAAATAAATAAATATTTGTTTTTAAAAAAAGAAAAGAAAAGCTTTTATTGCTCTCAGGGAGAAAAGAAGACACTATGAAATTACAACAGTATACTTCAAAATGATGACCAACAAGTCGAGGAGCTTGATAACCAGATATAACTACTTCACATTACTCCACTTTCCCGGCCTGATTTTCACCAGGGCAATAGAAAAGCTGAGAAAAGAACGATCAATAGGAAATCTACTTTGGTCTGGCAAAATCAGACTTGTTTTAACGTATAAATTATCTAAGAGGGAAAGAAAAAAGTTAACGTGCTGTATATTTATATCCAGACCCCTTTAAGGTTTATACTATAATTGGAAGTCCCTAACTTATGGTAGGGGTGACAATTACACAGTCCACACTGGCCTTCTTGTCACCTTAATCCAAGGTGAATTCTCTCATCTTGCATTTCATACTTATGACAATGAAAGTATAAACATGAGTTAACCCTTATACTACATAGCAGATAAAATGTTAAGTGTAGTATGAGTGAGACAACATAAAATGTGGGTTAAGAGGAAGGCAAGCCCACACATGGTGGAAGCGAGGAAGAGAATCAAGGCAAACAATGGTCTTGTAAGCTTTCATGACATTTATATTCAAGAACTTCTAGAAATTATTCGAACCTGTATTACACCATGAAGACTTTTTATTTAGATCTAATTCTATATAGAAAGCTTGGGTTTTTGAAAGCATATAAAAATTACATTATCTTTCATCTTGAAACAGCATAAAGATGACCACTGACATAGATCTGAGAGGATGGGTAGATTTGAGATGAGAGGATGTCTGACTAGAGGGGAGTAAACACGGGACAGAGTAGCAAGAGATGAAAACAGGCGACAGAAGACCAGGTGTATTTCATCCTGGTTTAACTGATAATAATTATGCTGTTATTGTTGCCACGATCAGAGCATCAAAATGTCTCCCTGTGAACTTGGATTCTATTCACCAACAATCTGTGGAGCCCTGGGGTCCGTGGACCCCAGCATAAGAATTTGGAAGGCAAAGGCAGAAGGAGCTGAGGAGGACTCCCTTTTTCCTGTTACCTTGCTGTTTCAGTCAATATCGCCCCAGCAATGGGCCTTCATCCTTCCAGGGGCCCTTGGTCCCAGCCTCTAGCACTCCCATGACCAGCATGATAACAAGCACCCCAGAGGTACCAGCACTAACCAGGCAGGTGCTCCCCTCCAGGTGCCTGAAATCTAGCAACATGGAGCTCCTCCTCTGAATTCCAGAGTTATCAACACCAGCTTTATAATGCCTCTCCTCCAAGGTTAGGTCATGATAACCCCAATGGCTTCCCTTGTTTTGATCCTCAGACCCAGCTAAGTGTTGTAACTTCTTCCATCAGTTTACTTTTCTAGTTACTTCACTGCTCCCTTTTGCTCTTTGTTCCTCCAGCAGCTATTTAACCAATTCTTCGTTTTAAATTCTGTTGAAATATTGTGTGGTTTCTGCTTTCCTGACTGGACCCTGACTGACAAACATATCAAACAACCTGAGTTCTCAAATCACTGAGCTTTCAAAATCCCCCGCCAAGTGTAATAGGGAGGAACCTTTTGTATTCCATTACAAGTTAATCACTAAAGGGATGCAGCCTATAAGCTTAAATTATACATAATCACCCAACTCTCAGAACCCTGACTCCCAGGTAATGAGCATTAAGCTAAAATACTTTTGTTTAGCTCACAAGAAACATCCTGACCAGGCCCACCTGTGAATGACTGCAGGGAGGAAGAAATTAACACATAACCCTCTGGAGGCTGATGGGAACCAGGAAATGTTTGACTTTACTCCCTCCACTTTTAGTATAAAAGAAGCCTGAATTCTAACTCAGGCAAGATGGTTCTTTGGGGGCACGAGCCCACCATCTTGGTTTGCTGGTTTTCCGAATAAAGTCCTTATTCCTTGCCCCAGCAACTCGTCTCTCGATTATTGGCCTGTCGTGTGGTGAGCAGTACAAGCTTAGACTTGGTGACACAAGGGCAGCTCATCATTCATCTCCTTCCTCCCCAACCCTTCCAGCCTCAAAATGAACTTCTCTAAAATTTCACACCTATCATCCTTATTCCCTTACCTTCTCAGAAGTGTCCTACTCTTTTTCAAGACCAGCAAAGGAGAACCCTCCAAACTCCCCCAGGACCTTGGCTTATCAGTACCCTTTCTTTTACATCTGCAATCTCCAAACTCCCCTGCCCTCAAATGAATCACCCTTTCTCAGCCCTTAAATGCGCTAAAGATCTCTCCACTCCATAGATCAATTCTGGATCCTCTCTGAAATTTCTGACAACGCCTCTATTTTCTTCCCTTGCTCCTTCATCCATCCACCTCTTGGCTAATTATCATGCCCATGACCACAAGTACCAAACAGATCACTAATATGCTTAGTAGATCTAAATGTCTAGCCCTGACCCTCCCTAAACTGAACACTAAGCTCACATTCTCAACCTCCTGCTGTTACCACAGGGATTTCTCAAAAGCACATCAAATGCAACCTGTTAAATGAAGTACCTGCTATTCTCCACCAAACTAATTTCCCCTCTGGGGACATGGCATTCCTACTTTCTCTGTCCTCCAAGCTGAAACTGTGTGTCTGCTTCCCTTTTGCCCACACTTTCACAGTAATCTATTCACTGGTTACTGCCCTGCCTGTCAGTGTACGGTTTGAATCCTTTACATAGTACGTAATCCTACGATCCGGTTTGTGGCCTACATCAAATACCGACTGAGCACTTGCTAAGTGCTAGTCTGGACAAGAGATGACTGACAGTCACTGCCTCCTCAGAGGTCACAGCTTAACGGGGGAGAGGGCCACATAAGATACCACGTTACATGGAAATGCACGGGGACAACATCTCCAAGGAAAACTTGCAGATGCGAGAAGGGACTCGCAGCACAGTACCTAAACTTCTCTCTACTACCGTCACCTTCTATCATGCATTGTTGCGCTTTAATTGGTGCATATCTTGGTTCGGCGGTATGGTCTGCAACTGCAAGGAATCCGGAGACTGGGTAAGTGTGCAGCTGGGGGAGCAGCATGTCATTCCCCCTCCCGCCGCGCAGAGCCCACTGATGGCCGCGGATGCAGCAGGCGGCAAGTCTGCAGAAAGAGCACTCAAGGAGGGCAGAGGTGGTCAAGCCGCACTTCACTCCCAGACCAGCAGCAGGCAGCGGTTGGGCGCTAAAGGGTCCCCTTCATCAGGACACCCTCTGGCGGACAGGGCCCGTTGCCGTGCCCCCACCCCAGCTAGGTCGCTCGAACGCTCACCTACGCCGCGCTCTGAGGACCCCCAAACAGCGGTGCGTCCGCCCAGGGCTGCGCACGGGCCTCTCCCTGTCCGCTGCTTCTGAGCTCTCGCGACGCGCACTGGGTCTCCGAGCCGCCGGGCCGCTCGACCCCCTCCGGTAGTGGCTGAAGCCGGGCGGAGGGGCGACCGGCGAAACACTTACTCGCAAGCGAAGACACCCCGACACGCGCCGAGCGGCGCGGGAGTGACGCCGCGAGGCAGGGGGGCTGTAGCCTGCCTTCTTCGTCGCCCCGCAAATATTTGTGAGGAGCGGCCGGCGCTGGCCGCTGCCCCCTATCCCTACATCCTACTGACTAGCCTATTGTGTTTGAACCCCGCTTTGACGTCAGACCCCAAAGCTCAGTAAGTGGCACCGGTAGGTGGAGCCTGCAGAGCCAGGGGAGCAGCACGCGTGCGCACAGCGCGTGTCCCGGGCTACACGCCGGAAAGACACCTTCCTCCGTGGCAAGCGGGAGGAAGAGTACAGGTCCCCAGGGGGCGGGGTTTGCAGCACCTGAGGTCGCCATGGCTACCGAGCCCGAGACCCCTGAGGCCGCCTTGGCTGCGGAGCCCGCGGTGCCGTCGCTTGTGGATCGTTACTTCACTCGCTGGTACAAAGCGGGTAAGTGGAGAATAATAGTCTCCTCTGGGCCCAATTTGTCTGACAGTATAGGGATTATGATGACAGATCATAAGCCACAGGCGCCCTCCCCAGCGCTTCCTCCCTACGTCAGAAGGAACTGGATCTCTCTGTTCCCCTGTAGGCCAAGGGAATGGCATTTGCAAAGACGTGGAAAACAGCAGGGTGCATGCTGGGTAGGGCGAGCGCAGTGCGAGTTCACGAGGTTGGGTTGCTTGCGGGAAGATGGTAGACTAAGGTGAGATCCCCGAGGGAGGCAGGAGCTGGGTTGCAATCTCCATGAGTGCCTAAAGGGATTTGAGGGGCTCAGTCCTCCAAGAAGAGGCGATACATAAACTGATTTAAATGGTAGCGGTCTAAACTAAGGTAGAGGCATAGGGATGGAGAGAAGAGGGTGGGTTAGAGTAGAGTCATTTAGAAAGCAGAATCTAACAGTTTTACTTAAAGGAAGTCGCTGGTATTACACATTTGCCACTTAGAAGTAGGTATCCTGTTGTATAGCTTTGTGTACCCAGCAAATATCAGTGATGAGAGCATCGTTGGGGACCCTCCTCTAACCCAACTTCCTCCCATTCATTTAGGAACAATATGAGGTGTACTCATCTTTTACAATATTGAAATATTTTACAATAGCATACGTTTTATTAGCCAGACTTAGTGTAACCGACCGTCTGGTTTACCCTGGATTGAGGTGTTTTCCGGAATCCATTACTTTCAGCGCTAAGATCAGGACAGTCCTGGGCGAACCAGGATAAGTTCTTCTCTCTAAAATCGACCAACAAAACATGCTACTAAATTAAATAAAGAATACATTACTAATCACTTTTTTTCTAATAGAAATAATGATTGTACTCATTTTAAAGTGAGGATAAAAAAAGGTGGAGCAAAGAGTTAATCATCATTTTAACATTGAATGAAGGATTCCATCTGGACCAGATATCTTTAAATACTTTATGGTAAGCCTTTAGGTATATCGTTTTGAGTAATGAAGGGCTACCAGTGATGTATGTGTCCAACCTTCATAATTAACTACCTCTATGAACCAAAGAAAGTACTAGACAGTGGTAGTAAATATTGATTCAACAGCCATCAGACTCATTCATTTCTTCTAGATGTCAAAGGAAAACCCTGTGAGGACCACTGTATACTACAACACTCTAACTGGTAAGAAAATTGGGAATTTTAAATTATCAAAAAATTTTTTTTCTGGCATTGTAGCCTGGTACGGTCTTGTATTGAATAAATATTCATTAAATGATTATCTTCCACTGTACTGAGATGGTATTATTTATACTAGGAGTTTGGTTGACAAGAATGAGTCTTGCAGTGCCTACGCTAAACAAATAAACTTGATTACCCAAACATCCAAATGGAGGACCACACCCTCAGTCGGCTACTACCTCAAGTAAGCAGCCTGTGCCTAACCACTGAATTGCCTAAGCCCATGGAGAGGGCTAGGGTAGAAGCACAGATGGTATCCTGTACATACCAGCATGCCTTACTTTTCTCTCTTCCTCCTCAGTGCTGTCTAAACACCTCTGGTACTCTTCCCTTTGGGGGAAGGAAATTCAGTCCCATTTTCTCCATTTTTATTACTGCATTCTTTTCTTCAGTTAAGCTACAATAGTAGCCAGAGGAAAATGGGGGAAAATGATAGGCTGACTAAACAAATGTCAGCTCAGCTATTCTTGTGCCAGTAGGAATACGGTGTTATAGGAGGAAGAATCATACCAAGCAATAATACAGGATCAATTTTTGCTCCTCGTAGAATATGTGTCATCACACTGGCAGGATCCCATCTAGTTCTTCAAAGTGGAAAAGCAATTAAAAGCATTTCCTATCAAATCAGTACCAACTGTAGCAGACTTCAGAACAAAGTCTCTGGGAAATTTAAGCGGGTATGTTCCTGTATTTCTCTACTTAAATCATCTATTATCATAATAATGATAGAGCCAGCCAGTCTTAGAACCCAGTAATGTATGCTCAGCATACTTCCCTGGCAGTTAGAGATGACTTTAAGACTACGTAAACTCTAAAGAAATTCTCAGGCCCCCAAAATGAAGTATTTCAGAAGGTATATTATCTGTCATATTAGCTTCTGGGCCACCATCCCTATCATCTCCAGGATGAAGGATGGAGAAGCTGGGCCTTTGAAAGAACAACTCTAATACCAATATAACAAGATATTTTGTCCTTTCTAGTTTTGTTAAGCCAGTATTTCGAATTCTATAAAATTTAGGTGATCAATACTTCTTTATCGTATATTTTCACATGTGAACTTAAAAGTAAAAAAAGTCCTGAGGTAGTGAAAAAAAAATCAATCTGAGAAAATATACAGTATTTGCTTCGTATCATTTCCCATTCCTAAATCACTGCCAATTTAATACACATCTAGCTACACCCTCCTCCTCCACGTAGTGTTTAGTTATAGAAAATGTTACCTCTGCCCTCTACACCTTTAGGCAGGATGGACATTTTATTGTTAAAGGAGGGTATCACACCAAGGACAACTCATTACCATACTAAACTATCCTGACAAACCCCCCTGGATAGGAAAGTTTCAGTTGGTGATTTAGATCCTTCATTTACTGAGTACATACTAAGAGTTTCTGCTAATTACCCTCAGTGTTCTGGAAGACCCTTGTTTATACTCCCCTTTGTAGTCCTGAAGGCCCCTAATAACCTGCCTTATAATTATTGATTTTTCCTCACTCAAGAAGCAAGTGGACTTTAAAAAGCATAGACCATTCTTAAAAGTCTACAAATTGCAAGTAAAACAGTTAGTGCTTGTGATGTTCCTGTGATAAATCTTTGTCCAAAATGGTAACACTGTTGTTACTTCTGAGGAACAGAGAGGGACCTGCATATGGAACCCACTGTAGATAAGCTTTGATCACATCTCAGCACTGCTCATCATTTATTCTCCCATGGGAGGTGACAAAAAGGGATTAAAACACTTCTTTCTGACACAGAGCCAGTGGTAGACAAACCATCTGGGACAAGTCCCCAGCCCCTCCTCCTAAAAGTGGGGAGTCACACTGACTAGTATTTTGAAACGAAGTACCCACAGGCAGAGGAGTGAAGTGCATGCAGTAACTCCTGAATGCTGTCTAATAATGTTGTGAGTGGGAAAGAGGCCATAAAGAATAGCATCTTGACCTCAGATGTTCACTGCAGTAAAAATTCCTGGGAAAAAAAGGGCAACACATCAGACATGCTTGCATCCATTTCCCATGAGCCTCCTTGTATTGGGTTGGCCAAAAAGTTCGCTCGGGTTTTTCACGTTAGGGAAAAACCTGAATGAACTTTTTGGCCGACTCAGTAGATATTTGTCAGAACCTCCCCAGATATATCCATACAGTGGAGTACATGAAAGTATAACCGTGCCACAACATTCAAACAGACATATGTCAAAATGTAGTATTTGCTAGCGGGTTATAGGATAATGGGTAAGTTACTCTTATCTGCTACTTAAAACTTTTCTGTTTTCCAAATATTCCTCAAATTGCATTTTTTTAAATTAGAAAAATATCCCTTCTTCAGAAAGTCTTAGTGATTGACCTAATAAAGAAGTTCCTTTCTCTGTTAAGTTCTAATATAAAAAATAAGGTAGGAATCTTAATGAAACTAACTTTGTACAATATTGCTGTCATTCTCTATAATGTTGAATTTTATATTACTGCTTATTGGTAAGATTTTCCTACCCTTTTGAAATCTTTACACTTGGCTATGTGCAGCTTTCTCATGTACAGTTAAATATAAAGTATAATAAGTTAAGATAAAATATATTCTTAATATGTAACTAAACTACCTATTATCACATTTGTCTTAGCCTGCTTTTTCCTCTAGAGCCTAGGGTGGTGCCTAGCCCATAGAGGCATTTAGTATATAAGTATTTGAATAAATCAATGGTTTTTCTGTACTTAAGTCATTTTTATTTAAAACGCTAATTCCAGGAATATATCCTATTGTGACTCTGAGGGCTGCCTCACAAAGAAAAGTGAAAATGTACATCAATTAACTTTTTCTTCCCTTTATTACCAGGGGGCACAGTTTCTAACAGAACTTGCACCTCTGTGTAAGATTTACTGCTCTGATGGAGAAGAATACACCATGTCTAGGTGAGTTACTTTTTAACCACAATTTTGGGGAAACAAAGAAGGTAATATTTTTCTTCAAAGCAATTTTTTCTTTAAATAGCTGTGTTAGAGGATGGTTGATGGAAGTGAATGAAAGCATTCTCCATAAGCCATCTATTCTTCAAGAGAAGGTAAAAGGGTCTGGGGAAGTAAGATCCCATCCACATACTTTTTATCTGTTTTTTTTTTTTTTTACCGTTTGACCGTATTAAGTATTCTATTTCCCTTCTAGCCATCCACCGAAGGCTACACTGCAGTTGTGTTGCCCAAGTTTGAGGAAAGTAAAAGCATAACAGAAGGGTTACTGACACAAAAACAGTATGAAGAAGTCGTGGTGAAAAGCATCAATGCCACAACAGCTACCTCATGAGGATTAAGATTGAGTAAAAACAACAGGGCATTCTTATCCTTACCTGGCCTACGAGTTAGTGCACTAAGGAAGAACCAGAGGCGCTGAAGCGTCCTTCACACCGGGCTATCTGCAGGGAGGCCTGATCTTAAAACCTGACCTAGTTTTCCTTCTTTATCTTGCATAACAAGCCTTGATTCCATTTTGTCTTCAACCTCCCAGATCTGCCTGCCCATGTACTCACTCTGCTCTTCTTTTGCTTTTCTCTTTCTAACAACTGGCAAGTGAGAGGCGTTTTTCTGATTAAAAACCAACAAACAAAGCACTTTGAGGAAAATTTGAAAAGACAGAAAAGTAAAAATAATTTACCCATCATCCTGTAACCCATTAGTAAATACTAGGTTTTGATGTAATTCTGTTTGAATATTATGTCATGGTTATTGTTTTTGCCTCAATTTTCCATCACTTTGAAGTTGGAAAACAACAACTGGCCTTTCTTACCAAGTCTGCTTCAGTGTGACACGACCGAAACGTCTGGTCCCACCCCTTTTGCCCCAACTGCCTCCCTCAGGTTGCCGGGAAGAGGCAGGGTGTAGAGTGTACCTTCTCTAAGTCTATGGGTTGGCCTTCAACTCTGAACAATGTAGCACTGTAACACTGGCTTCTTAATGAGGGACACATGAAAAGGCTTTGAAAGGGGCTTTGCTAACATGGAAGTATCAATATTATAATGCGGTATGAAGTAACATGTGCATTTGTGGTCACTCAGTCTCACACTCTAGTTACAGGGTCACCAGCGAAGAAGTTCCCGAGAAGTTCCTGGAATTCAAAGACACAGGTGCTTTCGAACAGAACAAAAGCTTTCACATCATTTAAACAATAAACAAAAAACTCTGAATTCATGGTTTAAGATTGTATACTTGTTTACATTGAATTTCAAATAAAAGGACTTCTTTTAAAATTGTTATTTTTCCTTAAGGGCTGCAACATATACATACATATAAACATTTCTGTTTTTAAATAAAACCATTATCCTTGAATTTAAATTCTTTTAGTTCTCCATCATCTTTTGCTGTTCAAGTCAAAAGTTATCCCTTCCCCACCCCTACTTGCATTTAAATAAGAGAATATTCTCATTTGAGGTATGTAAAATATTTTGTAAATAAAAATTTTAAATTATTTTTGACTCACAAGGAAACTTCTTTTAACCCTAACTCTCCCCTAAGTAAACCCACTAGACATGATACAGGTAGTAACTATAGAAACATCTACTCTGATAGTGTTGTGAGCTGAAAGTGTAAGCACAAACCAGCAAATCCCCATTTCAGGTAGCACAAAGGGTTCCCAAAGGTGTCATAAAACAAAAATACTAAAGATAGTAAAAGAATTATATATCTATTTTACATATAACATTACCTCACATCATTCTCCCATTATTTCCATTGTAATTTAAAAGAATATTTTGGTTTCAGGGAATAAAAATCATGTTTGATGATTTTTATAAAGAAATATTTTATAAAGGTCATAACCAAGCTGAGTGCATCCCATTTTCTCTCCGAGGCCTACAGTAAATTCAAGTTTCCTTCAATAAAATATTGACTAGCTAATTCGTAGCACTGTGGTTCTTCAGGATCTTGTGAATATTGACTGTGATGGCTGACTCAGATAATGATCATCAGACGAGCTTATAGAACTACTGCCGTTTGGCAACTGACATGTCCCGTTAGATTTCAAAATACATTTCAAAGCATTGGGATACAAGCCCCAAAAAACAAAGTTAACTATACTACATCATAAGGACAGAACTTATAACCAGATCCTTCAATCAAAACCCACCCGACAAAAACAAAAGCTTTAAACCCTAAAATTAAAAAGACTAAAGTCATTTATTTAATGAATATTCCAAAGGCACATATGTATACTTACTCAGAAATTATTTTGAACAGCTTAGTTCAAGTGTTCTCTGTCTTCTATCTTCTGCTCCATCAGTTACTACTGAGAAGTACAAAAACTGCTTTTCAAGCCAGTAAGATAGGCTTAGGATTCCAGCTAATATCCAGGGCAGACAGGCCAGCTATGCTAGAGCAAGAACAAAAACCATCTCCTAGTGAGTTCCTCCAGGATTCCGTGGAGTGAGCTCCATGACCCTGTTTTTGGGTGGGGGAGGGACATGCATCAAAACAGATTTCCTGTGCTCTGTGAAACACTTACTAGAGAACAGACGTGTGCTCCTGGCATGCATGATCTATGACAGAGGAGACAGCAGAGGCCCAGTCATACTCAGTGGACAGAGGGATTGGAGAAGGGTCCACAGGTTTAAGGAAAACCCTGCATCACCCAGACTACTGTGTCTCTTCTGCTGCAAATTAGTGTCCCAGATGATAAGCTTAAATTTAAAAAAATAGGAAGTTAGGGTCAAATGTGCCAAAGGTGAGCATATTTTCAAAATAGCTTCTTTGGATTAAATTGTCATTAAGGCAGTAAGGATATGTGGTTTGCCTTTTAAAGAACACTATTCATGGCAATGTCCCATTTAAAATCACACTTCAATTAGAAATATAGCAACCACCATGGCATTTATAGTTGTCAGAAAGCTTCACAATCGGTTTCATGATCAGAAAATAAAGCAAGATTTCAGTTTGTTTTCTTTACAAAATTGTTGTATTTCTGAAATATACAGGATCGTTTGCTTTCTAAAAATGTCAGCTTTGCCACATGGTGTTCCAGAGATCTGACCGCAGGAGCTTCTCAAGTTTTACCGTCCACAGAATCTTTATTTGTAACTGAGATCCATCGGTTGTTTTCCATTTGAAGCTGGAAAGAATTAAGACAATTGGTTTCTGCTTTACTCTTAAAATAAAAATTGCAAAATTAAATAGTATCTATTTTCTTCTGCATTTTCCTTTAGACTAAGTTGGCCTCTCCCGTTGCGGAGCACAGGCTCCGGACGCACAGGCTCAGCGGCCATGGCTCATGGGCCCAGCCTCTCCGCGGCATGTGGGATCTTCCCGGACCGGGGCACGAACCCGTGTCCCCTGCATCGGCAGACGGACTCTCAACCACTGCGCCAACAGGGAAGCCCTAGACTAATTTTTTAAATGTGAGTTTAAGATAGAGAAATTATCTTACCTTCTTCAACAGTTTATAGCAAAATGAGAGAAGTTGGATCAAAATAGCCATTATGCCTCTTGTCTTTGTAATACTCTTATCAACCATAGTGACAGAAAGCAAGCAAATCAAATTCTTATAAGGAGGCCCTCAAAAGACTTTATCATTTATTTAGTTTGAAAATGGTAAACATTTCTTCTAAGGGATCTCAAAGGGTATGTAGATTAAGGCATCTGAGCTGACTTGATGACCTAAGGTCCCAGAACTCAGAAGCAGGGACTGTTGCCCAAGTCTCATGACAATTTCATGGAACCCCAGGAAGAATGGATGGAAAATCAACCTGTTCTATTTCAGACGGTTTAGGGGCCTCTCAAAGGGCACCAAATAGTGGCAGTGAACCCCCTTCTTTGCAGTTCCTTGCACTCTACTTTTTTGCACTCAGACTCCCTAATACAAACAATAGAAGCCCTTCACTCTGAGGGGTCTGTGCCCTAGTTAGTCAGGTGATGATGTTGGGATTTAAGGGTAGCTGCTCTGTGCTATGGTATTAATCACGTCCAAAAAGCTAATTTATTTGGTGAACCTACCGCTTCCTGGGGTCAGTTGTAACTGCAGATGATAAATGGAAATAAATTGTTCTTCTGTGGGTATTAACACTTTATTTGAAGCAAAAGGGACTGGAAGCTAACCTAATAAAAAAAGAAGTGTGAAAGTTTCTCAAGTGCTTTCCTGAATGTCCCACCCTCCCTTTTACCTTTAGAAACACTTGATTCTGCAAGGGTGTCAGTTACTGTCTGGAGCTGGTGGCATAGAAGAACAAGCTTGTTTATTTCCAGGAGAAGCATAAGCTTATCATCACCTTTCAGCTGAAATGTAAATAAGGAAGTTATAACAACTCCAATGAAGTTCCATCTTTTAAACCTTAAGTACCTTTATACCTCAATAATATACCCTCAAAGTGGGTATTTACGACATCACCACCAGCACCAGGCAGGGATACGTGCATTACCTGTTTTGAGAAAACTTGCACACTTGAAGCAAGCTTCAAACCCTCTTCAGCAAAAACCGGGTGGAAAGGAAAAACATCACTACGTTAGGTGTATGTCGTCTAGATAGTTGGTAAGAAATACACTCATGGATAATTTTCATACAGAATGTAAAAAATAAAACCTAAACATAAAAGGTCTGTCATGGAACTTCTGTGGTTTTTTGTTGTATCCCTGAAAACACAAGAGTTTAACTGTATTCAGAAGCAGTTTTCCCAGACCTGGTGCAGAATCAGTCCCTGCAGTGGCTCCCCTACACCGGGACACCTCCAATTACCATGCAGGATCGCAAGACATTTGATGCTTAGCCATAAAAATTATGCCTGGGCTTTTGGATGGATCCGAAGCTCATCTCATAATATCCCCAATTATAAGAGGGTGCTGAATCTTGGAACATGGGGTCAAAAGGGTTAGATGAGGTCAAAAGTGTTATTAGAACATTGCTGCTTCCAGCTCAGCAAGATAGAATTTGTCACCTATACACATTCTTCAACCAGCCGTTTGAGGGGATTATTTTTTCACTATTCACCATACATTATACAATTTAGTGAGGAGAAGAGGATGATGGGAAAGAATACTGAAAAATACTTTAGAATATTCGGGATGATTATTTTTAAATGGTACACAGAATGTTTTAGGGTGAGAGATACCAGGGAAGTGAAGACTGAGCTTTAGGTGGCAGCAGGAAGAATGAAAAGAACAGGGCAAATCTGAGAGTGATTTGTGAAGAAAAATAATAGATCTTGGTAATAAATTAGATAAAACATATGAAGAAGAAGGAGGCAATAATTTCAAGGTTAACTTTAATTCCCTTTCCAACAGCCTTGCTATAATTGGATAACCTGATCTCAAGGTCAAATAGTCCTTCGCATCCTTCCCTATCCTTTAAAAGGGAAAACAATGCGGGCCCCTCATTGCGGTGGCTTCTCTTGTTGCGGAGCATGGGCTCTAGGCACGCGGGCTTCAGTAGTTGTGGCACGCGGGCTTCAGTAGTTGTGGCACGCGGGCTCAGTAGTTGTGGCTCGTGGGCTCTAGAGCGCAGGCTCAGTAGTTGCGGTGCACGGGCTTAGTTGCTCCACGGCAGGTGGGACCTTCCCGGACCAGGGCTCGAACCCATGTCCCCTGCATTGGCAGGTGGATTCTTAACCACTGCACCACCAGGGAAGCCCCTATTCCAACTTTTTAAAAAGGGAAAAACTCACTTATAGTCAACTTTACAGAAAATTCCACATGAAGTATTTTCTATAATTCTTCTGACTCTGTTGACAATCATCCTCTCAAGCTGAAATCCCTTTCCTGAAGAGGCTCGGGTGAAAGCACATGGGAATGCCAAAGGAAAATACATAAAGTTGATAAAGTGATAGAAATTTCAAATTTCAAATGCAAGAATGCCCTTGGTTCTAGAGAGGCAAACAGACTAACAAGAGAGTCAGGGGAAGTAAGAAAGGACTCTTGTAATCCACTTATCAATCTAAACCTCCAGGTAAGTGAGGAGAATTAGAGCAAGGCCTATGTGGAGTTTCATGAGACACGTAGGGCAGAAGGGTGAGTGTCAGTACGTGGTCTCTCCCTGAATGCCCTAAATCATCAGGAATATGGAAGAAGAAAAGGAAACTAACATGTACTGAGAACTGTAATGGTCTCAACCCTATGAGAGATGCTTTCTTATGTGTTATCTCATTTCATCAATATCATTCATCCAATTCAATAATGAAGAAGCCAAAAACCTTTCCTCGCATTCAGGGCAGTATAAGAGATACTCATTTGCTGATAGGATATTTTCACCTACTTGGGAAAAACTTAAACT